CACTTTGAGGCAATGTGTGATTGTTTACAATCTCACTATATAAAAGAATCATGTAGTGCACTCGTATGAACATATTGGTCAAAGATTATTGACTATCTGTATAAAAGAAAAGCCGGTGAGGAGAAGGGTAAGTGCAACGGAGCCGGGCCCGCTCAGCATATCCATTCTTTACCTCAGAAGAAGGCGTGCAGGCATCAGCTGGTAAGCTAATAAACTGTTCCAGGATATCTTCCCCCAACACGTGTTGTTGGGGGAGCTCTCCCCCCTAATTTGGTAGGCGTGGCCTTTCCCCCAAAGCCTTCGGGAGAAGTGTAGCATACGGGGAAGGGGATCCTTCCCCTCGAGGGGGAGTGTATCATACGGCCCCAGCACATGCTGCTTTGTGTTCAAAATTGCGCGCGCGGGAAGATAATTCAAAATGCGGTTTGTGCTCGGAAATTTTGCGCGCGGGAAATTTGAAAGATGCAGTCGGGTGTGGAGTCCAGCCGCGTCCCTTTCTTCACTTGTCGAAACCAAGAAAATGATCGTAGTGAGATCACACGATGATTTCCTGTTAAATCTCTCAAGAAGTGTCGACGTGTATGCTTTCGCTATAGACTACCAGTTTGATTAACGCGCAGTGAACCGCACTCAACTCAGCGGGTAACTGATAGGATACCTCCATCGCTCGTTATACCTGTGCTGATCACTTTGCCTACCCGTCGCTTTGCAGTAGCACCATTCTTCCCCTAATTCTCTTTACAGGTGATTAATTGCCAGTGTCCGATGCTTATCACACTTCTAATGATATCTGTCATTTGTTGGAAATAGGGACAGTGCAAAAGTTGGAAACGTTTTGATAGCAGCAATATTGAATGCGGGATGAAAGATGTTTGCATAGGAACGATAAGTTTCCACACATTATTTGTCGTTGGTTCTCATCACTCCTGGTGCCGTTGTGATGTTATCGGAAAGGAATGAAACGTACCCACTCACGAGCCTCTGTCATTTGATGATTGAGCTGTGATAGTCGCAGTATAGCCCTGAGAAGTGTGAGAAAGGAAGGGAACTTTTATAAACGCTTACTAGTCAATCTATCACTACCTATCATAAATCATTAATGTCCCACTCAGCCAAGTTAATTGTCGGAAGCATCTCCGTACTGTTGCCGCAACCGCTTCCTTATATGCGTAGCGCTCAATCAATTTTTAAGGTTTTTTCTGACGTCCGTTTCCAACCCTATCAGTTGTTATCGCGTTCCCTCACCCACCAACACTGTTCCCATCTTACTCCCTGTATAACTTCTGGAACCAACGTTTTACTGTTGCTGTAGGGTTTCAATTTTGTGACTTCTCTTCTAAGACTAGTTATCTGTTGTTATCAATTGTTATCACTTCCTCTCACCTACTGGTGATTTTCGTCCCACCCCTTTACCAATTATCAGTTTGGACTCTCTGCGGCTAAATCATACGCAGTTATAGTCTCGTTCGTCGCGAATGATGGGGCGTGTCAATCGACCGCGTTTGGCGTCATCCCAGTTTTTTCTTTCTCACTCGACAGATAGAAGTGTACCATGTAGTTCATGTCACTTGATCTTTACCAGCTGTTGTCAATTAACCGCGTCAAATACTGTGGAGAACTGTTTGCTATCGCGCCAAACGCAGCCTCGCGGACACGCCTCATCATCTGCAGCGAATCAGAGGCTTATTCTCGATAAGCCATCAGATAAAGGACGGGTTTTTTCGAAAAAACTACAGTGCTTAACCTCGTTACAGGATCTGCTACCCTAACTGCCTTTTTGTGGGGTTCACTGTTACATATGTCTGACAAGTTGGCATATCGATCCTATTAGCTATAGAGAAGGAAAGCATTAAAATGGGTTCCAGATGAACTAAAGCAAAAGTGCGGATATTTCATCAAGCATAGGCTGAGGAAATAAAGGAGCTAGCAATAGATGCTTTCAAATGTGCAAAGATTTCACGACTCCTGCTTTGATTTTCCAGATATAAGAGGTGATGTATTCCTATACCCAATTTCATTTAATTTTTTCAGGACCTAATATTTCCATATTAAGCAACAAACCAGAAAGTGCTCGAACCCAAAGCAAACTGAATACGAGTCCTAGCTTCACTAATGACTAACTTATCTTCACCTTTGACTGAAGCAATAAAAACTACCGAAATTGTCAAATTGTCTGCGCTTTGGAGAGTGTTTGGTATTTTCTCGTATCCTGAGCTTCAACTCAAACTTTCGATGACTTGTCCGCACAATACTTCTTTAGCTGGTCTCGTAGAAAATTGAACTGCGCATACATAGTCAGCACTGAAACCTATAGACAAAACATTTTATAGTTATCTTCACAATATTTCTAATCAATGCCTACCCACTTAAATCCAGCAGATGCGCACTTAAAATTAGGCCAGTTTGAAATGCGCTATAATGTGCCCGAAAGTACGGTCGCCGGTCTTGCAACGAGTCCAAGTACTGTAGTTTTTCGAAAAATTCCGTCCTGCACACAGGAGCAGTTTTGCATCGTGTAGCAGTGGGTTATCAGTCAAGTGAAAACAAATCATGCCGTCGAAGGTGCTCTGGTAAGAACCCTGCTTGCTCTCAGCTTTATATGAGCCTAGGAAACAGAGACTGTGTGTGGAAAAGGTAGACAGATCATGGCACGAGAACATACAAAGATTGGGGACCCATCGCAACGATAAAACGGAATCTCTCTTCCTATACACAGTAGGCTCATAAAGCTGAGAGCAAGCAGGTTCTTATCCAGAGCACCTCCGACGGCATGATTTGTTTTTACTGTGACCCATAACCCACATGCCACACGAAGCAAAATAAGCTACTGCGTGTAAGATTTGCAGCCGTGTATGGATTGCTCTTGCTTTTTCTGTGACACTGGTTCGTTGTTGAGCCGTGCTGATTTTCTTCACTGCTTTTGATTCGAGAGAGTGGGATATGCTCTGCGGTTGGCATCTTGTACATTGCAGGACAGGAACGTGGGGGAATTGCTGACGCTGTCTCTGAAAAATGATATATGACTACTTACCGAATTGCTCTTGCTTTCTTTTGTGACACCGCTTCGTTGTTTTGGCTGCGTTCATACGAGGTTTCTGACGATTACACTCGCGTAATCACCAGATCGATATAATCGCAAGTTATGTATGTATGTAGGTGGTGCGTGTGTAACTTCTCTTACTTTTTCATCTTGTTCGCCAACTCCTTCTCTTCTGTAGTCCTTGTGCTTGTTTCGTCAAATGATGAGCCTCGGGGTGACGAAATAATGATGGGGATGGGGCAAAACGGAACCACTGTGTTTTGGGATGTTTTCTGTTTCCAATTATCTGTTTTTCTTTGTTTCTAGTGAGCGCAACCTTGGTTGCCCGTTTTTCTACTCCTGTCTTTACTAGCTGCATGTACTTCAGAGCAAAGGTCTTGTCGCGAGGTGATCCAATAACGATGACTGATGTCGAAGTGAAGAAGCCTCTTACCGTGGGTATTTCGTTTAAATGCATTTCTTTCTTAGGCCGCGTTCATAGCTTGCGACCATGAAGAAATGCAGAAATGAAGAAGTGCGGAATGCAGAAATGACGAGAAGCAATAGATACGTATCGACTTGAAGAAATGCAGAAATGCCGAAACTGCAAACGTGCGGAAACTGCAGAAATGACGAAAAGCATTACATGCGTATCGATCTGAAGAAAGGCAGAATTGCCGAAACTGAAGAAGTGCGGAACAGGGTACAGCATCGTTGTGTCAAACACATGGAGGGGGGTCGTACTTTTGCTCTGGGGAGGGGGGGGGTCGTGCCTGGACCCCACTCGAAGGGGTCGTACTCACACCGACATTTCGCACATCCAATGCTGTACCCTGGTGCGGAACCTGCAGAGCATTTCCAGATTCCGCACTTCTTCACCCTCGGCATTTCTGCATTTCTTCAGATCAATACGCTTGTAATGCTTTTCGTCATTTCTGCACTTTCCGCACGTCTGCAGTTTCGGCATTTCTGCAGTCTTCAAGTCGATACGTATCTTTTGCTTTTGGTCATTTCCGCAGAATCCGCATTTTCCACACTTCTGCTGTTTCCGAATTTCTGCATTTCTTCACGGTCGCACGCTATGGACGCGGCCTGTTCTCAAGACGAGCGACTGATTTTCCAAAAACCATAAGTGCACAATGTTCCGTGCAGTGAGTGAGGTCGTGATGGCATAACTAACTGTGTATGATACGGGCGCAGACGAGAGTAGACCAATGATGCCGCGTTCATACTTCGCGATCAATCGCAACATCAGGGGGACCACGACCGATCGCGCTCCTGACAATGCTACTAAACAATACAAAATGAAGAAAGAGAACTTTATTTGTGCTCCATACATATTCAACAAGGCATCACCTAAAGCACGTCATTGTGAGAAACACCTCTGCACATGGTGAATCCTGGACCTCTTTCTTAATTCGAAAACTGCGCCATACAGAAGCTTGGGAAACGGCAAATCTAAAAAAAATACAAAAGAAAGATAATAATCCATAATATGACTGAAAAGAACATCAGAAAGTTACTTGGACGAACCGCGCCATAAAAAAGCAAGGGTAACCACGAGTCTAAAAATACGGAATGAAAAGAAATGCTCCTAAGTCGAACTAAAAGCCATAGTTACTCCGGTGAACTTACCTGTGTAGAAAAAGAGATTGCAAAATTCCAAATCTGAAAAAATACGATTGATAGGGAAATATTTAAAAACACAACACATCAGAAGTAACTTCGAAAGAACTCAAGGCGTGTAGGCACAGAAAGATATCAGAAAATCGGAAAAGAAAGGAAAGAACAGAAACTTGAAACATGAAGGCGAGTGCAGCCCTTTTCAATTTTACCCATTCCAATCGCGCGATCCTGTTCGCGCTATTCCGTCCGCGCGATCCAGTGCGCGATCGCGAAGTCTGAACGCGCTCCAAGAGGCGTGAGCCTCCGTTGTAGGCTTCTAGCATCATCGCCGCTTTCTCAAGTCGTGAAAGTGGTGATGTCTATCAGAAATCGTCTTGCTAATCGTTTGGAGCCGGCTAAGGAGAAGGCGTGCGGTATTATAAAGTTTCAGGCGGCGCCGCATCCACCACCTCATGCGCCGCCACAACCTCCGCTTCCTGGTAACAAGGATCGAAAAGATCCTCATACTGGTCGTACACTGGAGCTAAACGGACATGTTGGATTAGATGCACTACCTCATCAATTGGTCAAGAAAGCTGTAGAGGCAGGGTAAGTTGGCAACCTATGAACAACTATTTATTAGGTTGTCCGGAAAGTTCTCAGCGTTTTGGGTGTTTCACTTTAAACGATCGTAACTTTTTTAATACTCATCGGATTTAATCGAAATAGGCACCATTCGAATCAGCACACTTTTGCCAATGTGATAGCAGTCGAGAAATCCCATCAAAGAAAAAACTGGGTGGTCGAGAATCCACGAAATCTACGAGGGTCTTTTTTGCCTGGTCCTAATTGATGAAGTATTTTTCAGCAAGGAAGTTCTGAAAATGTTTGAAAAGGTGATAGTCGGTTGGTGAAAGGTCTGGAGAATATGGCGGTCGAGGTAGAACTTCAACCCCCAATTCGTTCAATTTATGGATAATGATTTGTGAAACTTGTGGGCGGGCGCTGTCATGTAAAGGAATCGGACCCTTTCTTTTGATAAGTGTTGGCTGCATCTGACAAAATTTTCGGTACAATTCGTCGACATCTTCAAGTAGGGTTCTGCTGTGATGGTTTGGCCTGGTGTTAAAAAGTTATAGTGGATCACACCAGCCGATGACCACCAAGCCGTGACCAGAATCTTTTTTTCGGGAGGGTTCGGCTTTGAAAATTACCTCGGTGGTCCATCAAAATCCAACCACTGTCCGGAACGTCTCCTGTTATCATACATGACCCATTTTTCAACACAGGTGACAATTTTTTTCTTAAAAACAGGTCGTTTCTACTGCGCAAAAGCAATGCAGAAGGAACCTCGAGACGTGCCGATTCCTGCGATCACTCCTATTGTGGAGCACCAATTGTCGAGTTTTTTCACCTTCCCAATGCGTTCCAGACCTTCTGAAACAGTGGCTTTGCCAAGGCCTAGCTCTTCTGCTATCTATCGAACTATTTGGGATGGGTCAACCTCCAATCCCCCTAAAACCCTCGTCAGATGTTGCTTTAGGTCGACCGCTATGGGGTTCATCTTCAAGGCTGAAATCTCCAGAACGAAATTTGTTGAGCCATTGCCGCACAGTGCTTTCTCTAGCACTATTGAGCCCGCACACCTGGTTAATTTGTTGAGCTGTTTCGATTGCGGATTGCTCCAATTTATAGTCGAAGAAAAAAATCGTCCGAAGTGCTCTTTTCACATGCTTGAAAAAGTCTTGAAAAAAGTGGGTTTATCAAGCAATGATGAAAAGCCAATTATACCATCAGATAGCGCAAGAAATTCTCTACAGGATGGGCTACTGAGAAGCAAGGCTGAATGAGTTTTTAATCAGCAGTGAATGTACAAAAAATAGGTGCACAAAACGCTGAGAACTTTCCGGGCAACCTAATATTAAAGTACAGGCGGTATTTTCATGGTGCGTCCGAATCAAGATCTGCCAGAATCAATGTTTCAGTACTGTGGGGGTGTCAGTCGTCCATCTTAAATACTAAGGTGATATCATTCAAAAATAATCGCTGCTGATAGGAAAAGTAAGAAAGTGGATATTCCAACTGTTCGAAGAGATGGATATTCTGCCTGGCGCATGTACCGCTTTGAATAGGATTGTGTTACAGGACTTTTATTTACTGGATTCATGTTGTTTCTTCAAGGTTCCAGTTCAACTTAATGTGCGTTGGTGAAACAGGTATGGGCAAGACAACACTGATTGAATCGCTATTCAACATGAAACTTGATTTGGAGCCGTGCAGCCATGAACTGAAAACTGTTGAGCTGCGCACAAGGTCGTATGGTATGTCCAACATTCAGAGAGGTTCTTGTCTTGAAAACGAGAGTATAATTAGTGTGAGAACTCACAACTCGTTCGTGCTCTTTTTCTCGTTACATAAAAACAGCTGGCGTTCACCTGCCATCCTGCTTGCGCTATCAATCGTACCCCAGACTTACCGTGCACACTTACACACATCAGCGTTCATCAGCCGAAGTAGCTTAGCGGAGATTCATCCGGATTGGGCTATTACTTCTACCTGCTCCTTTATCACAACGAAGAGACAGTTGCTGAATTGTTTTTGTCTGAAGGTTCCAAATAAGCATCGAAATCTGCCCATTGCGTTCTTATATATCTTTGACCCACTTTTATTAATATACTGTCAAGTGGGTGGCCATTTGAATGTTTTGTATCAGGAATTTTCAGCCTCATTCGTAGGCTCGATCAAACAAGGAAGGAGTCACTGTTCCAGCTAGCTGTGTTCATTTGAAGTTAATCTTACGGGCATCCGCTTTCTGATCTCCTCGTGTCCTTTTTCTCTAACGAAGAGTTACTTACAGCCTGCAAACCTGCTTTTACCTCCACTGTCCGTTCTTCAGTCTTGGAATTAAGAATGTACTTGTCGTTTTGAGGAAGGATTGATCGATTTAATGCTCCTTTTTCACCTTCGTCATGTTATGTTCTTACAGTTTTTTGTGCCCTTGCTTTTATTTCGCTAGTGTTCGTAGAAAATCGATAAGGGTTGCTTGCAGAAGTTGCTGAAGGTGGTATTCGCGTTAAGCTCAGATTGGTGGAAACGGCTGGATTCGGAGACCAGCTCGACAAGGATCAAAGGTCAGTATGTTTATTCATTTAGTTTCGGGAGTTGTAACTTGGGCTTTTCCAAACATTGAAGGTTTGCGAAGAGTATGTACACTCACTCAGTTGGTTTCTATGCTAGATGCTCCTTCAGAATAACAAACAGCTTTTGGAGGAGCATTTCCCGACCTGTGAAACTGTGAATATTATAAAGAATTTTCAGTGCACGAGTTATTGTTGACTACCTTGAGGCTCAGTTTGAACGCTACTTGCAAGAAGAACTGAAAGTGCGTCGCACATTGAACTATTTCGACGACACACGCATTCATGCTTGTCTTTATTTTATTTCGCCAACAGGACACGGGTCAGTTCGTTGGCTCATTTTTCTGTTGTTTGCTGTGAAAATGTTAAGTACATATTCTTCCGAAGTGTTGTTGATGATTTTGAACTCGATGTTCTAATTGAACGGAATTGCCGGACTTTCTCTTGTCGTAATTCTGCTCATATAATACTCGGCCGAGGGTGGAGAGGAGGGTGTAGGGCCGTTTTGCTTGGTTTCTTTCGTTAGTTTCAATAACTCACCTACATCACCTCAGTAGGGCCTGTAATTTTTGTTAGTTATGAAAGAAGGTCATGCTATCACCCACTATGTATAATTTGCTTCGTCTGTTTGTTTGTTTGTTTGTTTGTCTGTCTGATGTAAACAAGATGAGAACAAGGTGCAGGATGTAAACAACACCTGGGGGAGTTCGGCATGCCTGAGGTGTATTGAGACCCGCCCACAGTGGGCGGAGCTTGCTCTCGTTTACAGGGTGCCCATTTCAAGAATTTGTAGCTTGGTTCCAGAGCACCCCACGGACCGGAAAAAAAAGTGCATTACGGTGAGCAAGGGGTCGCCGATTGAGAAATGTGGGGCACACGTGTTGTGGGCGGAGCCTGCTCGAGGTGGGCGGAGACAGATAAAATGTCTGTAAAATGGTTTCAGAGCACTCCAAGGACCGAAAAAGATGGATTAAGACCAGCAAAGGGCCTATGGCTAAGAAATGTGGGGCATGCATGTGTGTGCGGAGCCAGCCCAAGTGGGCGGAGACAGGCAAAAATTCTGTAAAACGCGTCCAAGACCCTATGAGTACAGGTGAAATAGAAACCGGGTAATTGTTGCGAATCCAGTGTAGAAGGAGGTAAGCGCGGCAAAGCCGGGCCGTTTCACGGAAGGAGGCGCGCCGGCGTCTGCCGGCGAGCCAACTGGTTTCCATATATTCGTGAGAGGTCTCTACAGGTCTCTCTGGATCGACAGTGGTTGCTGAGGTGCAGCAAAATGCCCCTACAAAGACGAACAGCGCCAGTTTATGTATACACAAGCCTAGAAATATTTTTTGTGGTAAATGTTAGTTGTTAGATGTTAGACGAACCTTGTACGCCGTTTATTTGCGAAAATTGAAAAATTTGGCTGCGAAATGTCGCCCTTGTGGAGAGTTTTGTGGGTTTATCAGACGCGTCAATTGGCTCCTAATCCGTTTAAAGACAGCCCCGCGCTCAGGCAGTGCATGGTCATCCTTCCTTGTGCAAGTAGTTGAGCCCCTAAGCTAGAGACTATCCCACTCTCGCTACTCCACAGCGAGCGAAAAGCGAGCTACAGCTGCTAAAAGTTCTAGTTCTAACGCCCGCCTAGTTGGACCGCTCTCTTGCTATATGCTCTGTGACGGAGATCCGCTCAGTTGTTCTTTGTTGGGGCGGCGGACATTTATCGGAATTGCATGCTCTTTTTGCTGACCGCGCTCGTGCTCATGAATGGTTCTGTTCTTTTTTATTACATTTTATTTATTAGGAGCTCATACAGTCAACTCCAACATATCTTGCAAGGTAAAACGCGTAAAAATCAAGAGCGGCCCAATTTTCGTGGTGCAAGAAGTCGAACCACACTACACTAAAAGATGCACGCTACCGTAAACTTTTCGAAAGTTTCTTTTCCTTTTGAAGAGTTTCTCTTCTGTGTTTTTGTTGCTTTTCGTGTTCTATTCAGTGCATTGGATGATATCCGCTACTGGGAGATGTGATAAAGGAAATGGTGAGCCAGGGATTGCACAGAGACCGCAGGAAGGTGTGACTGCCAGGGGGTAATTTTGTTTGTAGTGTTCTTGAGGACTCTTCTTACTTTTTTTTCTTCTTTGGGGAATAACTTATCAGCTGCTTTTTCATAATTGCAAAGCAACTATCCGTGACACTTTTATCGCGGGAGCTGTCTTCAAGAACATTCCAAAGAAGCATCACGGATGTTGAAAAGCTGGGCCTTACCTGATGGTAACTATATATGGAATGGAAACATACATTTCGAACCTACGTTTCTAACGGAAACGAAAAGAATTTTTCTTATCTTCATTGTTGCTTCACTTTCGATTGTGGTTCTATTTTTCAATTTCGTTTTCATTTTCTTTCCTCTTCATTTTCCCTTTTTTAAGCTTTTTTCTTCGGTGATCTTGCTTTCTCCTTCTGACTGAGTTACCACGCACAGTTATAATAAATGTTGTAGTATCACTGTTATGATAACGGTGTGGTAATGACATACCTCACCGTTATCATAACATTCGTGTGTATCATAACTGTGATACACACGTTTTAGCGCTCCCTGTTTCAAGTCAGGGACACCACTGATCGTTGGAGGCTGTTTCGTTGCGATAACGTTCCACCGGAAGTAGCCATAGAAGTAACTCTTTTAACCTACCTATTTTCTCAATATTGATGCTTTGGGCCCCTCAAAAACACGGTTTCAAAATCAGCAATGAACTGTTGCAAGAATTGACGTCAGGTCGTCGGCGGAAGGATGTCAAGCCACACCTCCCGGTTCACCGAACAGGTGGCACATATTCTTTCAGTCAGTGGTCCTGATGACGAAGCCCTACCTATCCTCCCCGATTAATCAACGAGGGGGCTCCTAAAAAGAAGTACAGTGGCTCTGTGTATTATGGCAACGTAGCTTCGATTGGATAGAATGTGGAGGAACGGCTTCAGTTGTAAGGAGTGCTACTGCTGGGAACTTTTTCACTTTTCATTTATTCGCTTTGCTTTGAGCAATGGAAAACTGGCTAGCTTAAACTTGAGCCGTGGAATTTTGATTTGTGTGAATTCGGGGTTAAGTCCTTTTGTGAAGTTTCTAAAAGCGTGCTGTTTTTGTTTTCGCCATTCCTTGTTAAATTTAAATCTAATTTCAAAGTATTTGAATAGGTTGCCGGGATAGCAGTGATGAGAATGTTCATAAAGAATTTGATCAGGAGGTATCGTCTCTAAGGAAAACTTTGCGCAAGCTGGAAGTCTTTGCATTTTGTGTGTCTCTAAGCAACCATGCGAGGAAAAAAGCAAGCATTTTTCTTCGGGAAAGTGAGGTGCGTTGTATTTGAAGGAAAGCAGCACTATTGCTGAACTGAGCCTCTTTATTCTTTCGTGTGTAAAGCTTTCAAGAATTATTCACGCGGTTGTTTACGCCATTTTTCGTATATGGATTGGTTCTTGTAGAAGCACAAAGATCATTCCGGCGAAGGAGAAAGTCTCAACTCTTTCTATTTCTTTCTGTCAGGTACACTATGCCAATGAGGAGAACTTAGGTATTACAAATACTTCCGCTCATCTCCCTTTCTATTCCAATACTGAAGGAATTCACCAGTTTCCTATCCCGAAATGTAGGAGGGGATATGGGGTCTCTCGTGCAATCGTTGTATGTCGCGCTTTTGGAACTGGAAAACCGTGCCTGACAATCGAGTTGTCCTGCCTGTTCGCTTGAAGATGAATGTTACAGGTTGGAAAATCCGATATTGTCCATCGTGGAGGCTTGAAGAATTCGTATGAGTTTCGTTGCTCCTATACAGACCAATGCACATCGAGAACTGCTGCACATCGCCGCGCCCGACGAATGTGACAAACTGTCTGGTCTGTCTTGTCTTCTCCGTCTTCCGGGTTTCCTGAAGTTTCTTGTGTGTAACGTTAACTCTGAACTTGGAGCACGCTACTGAGTGAATTGGTCGAAGCCATAGCTTTCTTGAATGCTTTTCAGATCGAGAACTCTGTTGCAATGTATTCAGTGCGAATATACTAGGTCAAGGTTTGATCAAGAAATTGATGTCCATGAGATTCCATTTTCTGAACAACCACTTTCTTTCTTGACCATTCTCAGAAGAAGCTGTCCTAAGTACACGATTCTCACATTTCACCAAGCAACGTAGTACAGTCCCACTCACTTTTAAAGTGTCCTCGACGAAGATTTGATGAGCGAAGTACTGACCCATTTAGAAATCTGTCTGTTTTTATACTATTGCAACCGTCATTTGTTTAGGAGCCTCGTAATATCTAGAACGCATTCATTGGAGCAATCAATGAGAAAGAAGTCCTCAAGCCGCGCCTGATCTTGCTCTTGTATATAGCATGCATTCAACTCTTAATCACATTTACACAATGTGAGTCCCCCTCCTCTTGCTGAGTTCATCACAGCGCCGTTCTACACTGATTGTCCTTTCGTTCACAGTCCTCTCTCGCGTCCGTAGGAATCGGTCAGCATTGAAGGCACTCCGGGGACGACGTACCCTGTTGCGAACAGATAGCAGGCTCGTCAGCTGGAGGATGATAATATCCACTTTTCACATTTGGCTGGTGTTAAATTAATCGTTGGAACTGTTGACACTTTTATAGCACCTGTGCTGACCATGAAACCCAACCAGGTGGAATCATCGTAAAACAGTTCACGCTGCCTTCGTACTGCTAAGAAGACTGTATGATCCTGATCTGTAGTACAACACCAATAATTTTTGGTGAGGTCGGAATATGCACCAGTTTGAAGAGTTTTCCGGCAGGAGATTCTAGTTAAGGGTAGCTTGGAGTGTAAAAAAGTGCACGTGCCAGATGTAGTTTTGGAGCCGCCGTGTAGAAAATTATGATTACTGCAAACAGTCGCACGGACAATCGCACCAATGCAAGTGCATCGCTCGTGAAAACAAGTACCCCTTAAAAGCATCTTGCCTGGCGAAAAGGGCTGCTATTTATAGCGGTATCCAGAAAAAGTAGGGCGATTTGTTTGCTGGCAAAAGTCGACAAGCTACCACTCTCCACTCTCAGCGGCGAACACTCGAGTTCGACCAGCAATGCCAGCAATACGTGCGGTACGCAGCGGTGTCGTTCTATTATAGTCAGTAAACTTGACGTCGTAAGAGGCCATGCCACACTGGTCACTTTGTCTCGCATTTTCGTGTGGTGAATGTGGTACACTTTCAACGAATGCGGACCTGGCTTCTAATAGCACAAAGCATTTCATAGATCATTTAATCGCGGACATTGTCACTGAGGGTGCGTTTTCTTTATCTGGAGATCTTTGAGTCAAACATTCTCTTCCGGTTTACTTGATTCAACAAAATACCCCAAAAATGCCGCAGTTTAAGAATGCTCTTTCAACGGAAAAGAGTAAGAGTCGGTTTGCTAT